CCCGGGTGGCGTGTTCTCGGGGGGGTCGCCCGGGTGGTGGGTTCTCAGTGTTTCCCGCACTCAGTTTGGTACCGTTGACCACTTTTATTGTGGGTTCTGTCCATGGAGCGGTGGTGGGAAGTTGCAGGTACCTGTATTGGAGAGTCACCAGTGTCTGTTTCCTGTCAGGGAACCACGAGACGGACACCATGAACCAGATGTACGGCTTTGAGGGCGAGGTGAAAGCCAAATACTCCACCCAGATGTTCCAGCTCTTCAGTGAAGTGTTCCAGTGGCTGCCGCTGGCCATGTGCGTGAACCAGCGTGTCCTGGTGAGCCCCCCTCCCCCTAGGGCCACAGCATGGGGCCCTCCTATATATGACAGTTTCTCGGGGTCATGTGATCAGAGTGATTGATTTCTGGTGATGTGATGTCTCCCGTACAGATCATGCACGGCGGTCTATTCTCCGAGGACGGCGTGACGCTGGAACAGCTCCGGAACATTGAACGCAATCGGCAGCCGCCGGACTCAGGTGTGCCGAGGAACCGATCCGCAGTGTGTGATTGTGTGTACATGAGGCGTGCTCTGCTGTGTCACATGACCACCCTGCTACCTATGTCACATGACCACCCTGCTACCTACCGCTATGTCACATGACGACCCTGCTACCTACCGCTATGTCACATGACCACCCTGCTACCTACCGCTATGTCACATGACGACCCAGCTACCTATATGTCACATGACAACCCTGCTACCGCTATGTCACATGACGACCCTGCTACCTACCTCGGGTGGTGGGTTCTCAGTGTTTCCCGCACTCAGTTTGGTACCGTTGACCACTTTTATTGTGGGTTCTGTCCATGGAGCGGTGGTGGGAAGTTGCAGGTACCTGTATTGGAGAGTCACCAGTGTCTGTTTCCTGTCAGGGAACCACGAGACGGACACCATGAACCAGATGTACGGCTTTGAGGGCGAGGTGAAAGCCAAATACTCCACCCAGATGTTCCAGCTCTTCAGTGAAGTGTTCCAGTGGCTGCCGCTGGCCATGTGCGTGAACCAGCGTGTCCTGGTGAGCCCCCCTCCCCCTAGGGCCACAGCATGGGGCCCTCCTATATATGACAGTTTCTCGGGGTCATGTGATCAGAGTGATTGATTTCTGGTGATGTGATGTCTCCCGTACAGATCATGCACGGCGGTCTATTCTCCGAGGACGGCGTGACGCTGGAACAGCTCCGGAACATTGAACGCAATCGGCAGCCGCCGGACTCAGGTGTGCCGAGGAACCGATCCGCAGTGTGTGATTGTGTGTACATGAGGCGTGCTCTGCTGTGTCACATGACCACCCTGCTACCTATGTCACATGACCACCCTGCTACCTACCGCTATGTCACATGACGACCCTGCTACCTACCGCTATGTCACATGACCACCCTGCTACCTACCGCTATGTCACATGACGACCCAGCTACCTATATGTCACATGACAACCCTGCTACCGCTATGTCACATGACGACCCTGCTACCTACCGCTATGTCACATGACCACCCTGCAACCTAACGCTATGTCACATGACCCTGCAACCTACTGCTATGTCACATGACCACCCTGCTACCTATGTCACATGACGACCCAGCTACCTACCGCTATGTCACATGACCACCCTGCTACCTACCGCTATGTCACATGACGACCCAGCTACCTATATGTCACCTGACACTGCAACCTACCGCTATGTCACATGACAAACCTGCTACCTATGTCACATGACGACCCAGCTACCTATATGTCACATGACCCTGCAACCTACCAAATGTCACGTGACGACCCTGCTACATCCCCAGATAACGGCGCTAATACTGCCATGGTATCTTTGTAATGCACTTCGCATGCGTCACATGACTGCGCTGACCCAGCATGTTCATTTCTACTTGGAGTGTGACACGCGTGAATGGTTGCTTCCGTGTCCTGGCAGACATGTGGTACGATCCTCGTGCTGTGCTGACCTCCTTTCTCTTCCAGGTCCGATGTGTGACTTGTTGTGGTCGGATCCCCAGCCGCAGGTAACGCTTCTCGTCTCACGCTGCGTGCCCCGTCCCTGCCCCCGCACGTCTTCTGAACCCGCCTCCTTTCTCTCTTCCCTCCCAGGACGGGCGCTCTCCCAGTAAACGGGGTGTCAGCTGTCAGTTCGGGCCGGACGTCACCCGCCACTTCCTAGAAGAGAACGGTCTGGATTACATCATCCGCAGTCACGAGGTGAAGGCGGAAGGATACGAAGTGACGCACAATGGTCTCTGTGTGACCGTCTTCTCTGCTCCAAACTACTGGTGAGTATCGGCAGACCTGCGTCATTCCGCAAAGTCTGACTCCTCCCCTTTTATTGCATCACCCCTCACTGACCCCTCCCCTTTTATTGCATCACCTGCACTGACCCCTCCCCTTTTATTGCATCACCCCGCACTGACTCCTCCCCTTCTGTTGCATCATCCTACACTCTGCCTGACTCCTCCCCTCTTCTTTTTCAGTGACCAGATGGGTAACAAAGGTGCATATATCCATCTCAGTGGCTCTGACCTGAAGCCCAAATTTCACCAGTTTGAAGCTGTGGTGAGTCCTTCTTCCTCTCAGTAACAACAAGAAACTAAATCAGAGGTGCACACACACAACAGGTAATAGGCACCTTGTGGTGTCTGCTCTCCGGCAGGACTTTAATTTGGCTGACAGGTTCCCTTTGATGGGGGCTGGGCGCGCAGAATAACAATCCTCATATTACAAATGATAGAAGAGGCTCCATTGTCTATAGAAGGACACAGGACTCCGAAACGGGTTATACTGCCACCTTCAGGAGGTTGGGATACAAAACGGTTGTCATCCAGTCCCCATATAACCCCTCCCCTACCCAGCATGCCTCAGCTTTGTGCTGGTGTCCTTCAGGATTGGTACCTTTTGGGGTTGTTACAATCTCTGGGGCCCTTTGGGACACTGCACGGTGAGGGTTGTCACTACCTTGGATCTCAGGCAGCCGTACTCCTTTCATGGAATGTTCCTTCCGATGGTTGGAAGTGTATGGCGCTGGCCTTGTGGACTGGCGGGTCTTCGTTCGGCTTTTCCTGGGAAATGGTCCCAGTGAACCTTTTGTTGGCCATATCTTGTTGGTGGTCTGTTCCCTTTTATTAGGGAGTTAGTAGGGATGCACCGATACCACTTTTGTAAGACCGAGTACCGATACTTTTGATCGAGTACTCGCCGATACCAATTACCGATACTTTTTCTTAAAGGGACAGGTCACATTTTTTTCTAAAGCAATACAAACGAATGCTTCAAGGTCACTTTCTCACTATTATGATTCATGAGATGACGAGGGAGCAATGACGCAATCAGAAAGCCGGGCGCTGCGTCATTACACGGCGCCCGGCTTCCGGATTTGCTCGCTTCCTGACCAATCGGGAAGCCGGGCAGCGCGTCATTGCACGCTACCCGGCTTCCTGTCGGGATGGGAAGTCGGCTCCATGCTCTCTCATCACACGTGACGAGAAAGCATGGAGCCGTTTCCTGGCCAATCAGGGAACCGGGCAGCGTGTAATGATGCGCTGCCCGGCTTCCTGATACAGGAAGTACTCGTGCTAGGTATCGGAGCATTTGGGCGAGTACAAGTACTCACCCGAATACTCGGTATCGGCACCAATACCGATACCAGTGCACCCCTAGTAGTTCTGATGTTCCAGGTGTTTTAGTGGTTTCCAGCCTCTCGCTGGGGCAGGCTTTGTGTCCCGGTGTTGGTGGAGTCGTTCTCCGTCATGGTGATCTCATCTGTCCTGGTCCGAGCCTCATCTTGCCCCTCTGTGGCCTTCCCGGGGCAGATTTCCATGTCTTGCGGGGGACAGATTCGGGTGTTGGTCCTTCTGGTTGTTCCATTTTAGATCGGTCGCTGGCTGTTGCCCACCCCTAAGTTGGGCCGGTTTTGGATGTCCTGATGGACCGGTCCTGTTTTATGAAGTTCTGTGTCCTCCAATATACCGTACATTCTTTAAAGGAGAACTATAAGCGGGAGGGGCTTCTCACTTAACCTCATAGTTCGGGGCGACGTGTGACAATGAGACTGTCACAGGTCGGCTCAGTAGATCGGGAGGTGAGGGAACACATACCGGCGTTCGCTCACCTCTCGATCCTGTCACAGCTCCCTGCAGGGATTCCCCGCTCCGATCCTCCAGCGCTGACTGGCGGAACGGACGGGGGAGGGGGCGGGTACAGCTGGCTCTGCCTCTAGATAGGAGGAGCCAGCTGTCACTCACGCAGCTGGGCGGATCCTGGGATACTTGTCGGGATCCGCTCCGGCGTCTCAGTATACCGCGAGCTGTAGCTCCCTATATACTGAGCCTAGGGTGACGGGAGGACGCTAGTTTGTGTCCTCCCGTTACCCTGAGGAGAACTATGGGGGGAAAGCCCGGACCTCGTACTTCTCCTTTAATTGGAGTCAGATAAGGGCCCCCGGTGCTGTCCCGTCTCACAGAACTGAGGCTCTCTGGGTAGAGGTGGCGTTCTATGGAGTCTGTTGTCCCATCCCCCACAAGGTGGCAGTATAACCCGACGGTGACTCTCTCGATAGACTGGAAGATGAGGATTATTTTATGGTAGAAGCACAAGGAGTCCATTCGGGTCGGAGTTCTTCCTTTTGATGGTCGCAGAACTTTATTTGCCGTGCAATGTTACAATAAGTTGTCACGGCGTCCAGTAACGCTCTCCCGTCTCCCGCAGCCGCACCCCAACGTCAAGCCGATGATGTATGCCAACTCTCTGATGCAGATGGGGATGATGTGAGCCGGACGGTCGGGCCGCTGAGCCCATCGGCGGATTGCCCCGCGGGCGGACGGTGAACGTCGCAGTATTTGCCCCGAATCTTTCTGACGTCAGTTCGGGAAACAGAGAATCCAGAGGAATATTTTTATTACTGTAAAGGAGGAAGTGAGGCGAGCGGGAGTGTGTCTGGACGTGTGACTGTGTGTGCGTGCGTGCGATTGTCTGTGTGCGCGTGCGTGCGATTGTCTGTGTGCGTGGGGGGTGTCTCAGCTAGAAACGCACAATAATCTCGCATCCCCCTCCGTATAACCTGTGTGCTCCCCCTCGCTCTCCCCCACACGCGGACACCCCAAACCTCCTGCTGTCCATTATTTAGCTTCTAATAAAGATTCTGATCACACCACAAAATGGAATATTATTATTGGGGAGGATGAGGGTGGTGGTGGGAATTATATGGGGAGGATGAGGGTGGTGGGGGGAATTATATGGGGAGGATGAGGGTGGTTGTGGGAATGATATGGGGAGGATGAGGGTGGTGGGGGGAATTATATGGGGAGGATGAGGGTGGTTGTGGGAATGATATGGGGAGGATGAGGGTGGTGGGGGGAATTATATGGGGAGGATGAGGGTGGTTGTGGGAATGATATGGGGAGGATGAGGGTGGTGGGGGGAATTATATGGGGAGGATGAGGGTGGTTGTGGGAATGATATGGGGAGGATGAGGGTGGTGGGGGGAATTATATGGGGAGGATGAGGGTGGTTGTGGGAATGATATGGGGAGGATGAGGGTGGTGGGGGGAATTATATGGGGAGGATGAGGGTGGTTGTGGGAATGATATGGGGAGGATGAGGGTGGTGGGGGGAATTATATGGGGAGGATGAGGGTGGTTGTGGGAATGATATGGGGAGGATGAGGGTGGTGGGGGGAATTATATGGGGAGGATGAGGGTGGTTGTGGGAATGATATGGGGAGGATGAGGGTGGTGGGGGGAATTATATGGGGAGGATGAGGGTGGTTGTGGGAATGATATGGGGAGGATGAGGGTGGTGGGGGGAATTATATGGGGAGGATGAGGGTGGTTGTGGGAATGATATGGGGAGGATGAGGGTGGTGGGGGGAATTATATGGGGAGGATGAGGGTGGTTGTGGGAATGATATGGGGAGGATGAGGGTGGTGGGGGGAATTATATGGGGAGGATGAGGGTGGTTGTGGGAATGATATGGGGAGGATGAGGGTGGTGGGGGGAATTATATGGGGAGGATGAGGGTGGTTGTGGGAATGATATGGGGAGGATGAGGGTGGTGGGGGGAATTATATGGGGAGGATGAGGGTGGTTGTGGGAATGATATGGGGAGGATGAGGGTGGTGGGGGGAATTATATGGGGAGGATGAGGGTGGTTGTGGGAATGATATGGGGAGGATGAGGGTGGTGGGGGGAATTATATGGGGAGGATGAGGGTGGTTGTGGGAATGATATGGGGAGGATGAGGGTGGTGGGGGGAATTATATGGGGAGGATGAGGGTGGTTGTGGGAATGATATGGGGAGGATGAGGGTGGTGGGGGGAATTATATGGGGAGGATGAGGGTGGTTGTGGGAATGATATGGGGAGGATGAGGGTGGTGGGGGGAATTATATGGGGAGGATGAGGGTGGTTGTGGGAATGATATGGGGAGGATGAGGGTGGTGGGGGGAATTATATGGGGAGGATGAGGGTGGTTGTGGGAATGATATGGGGAGGATGAGGGTGGTGGGGGGAATTATATGGGGAGGATGAGGGTGGTTGTGGGAATGATATGGGGAGGATGAGGGTGGTGGGGGGAATTATATGGGGAGGATGAGGGTGGTTGTGGGAATGATATGGGGAGGATGAGGGTGGTGGGGGGAATTATATGGGGAGGATGAGGGTGGTTGTGGGAATGATATGGGGAGGATGAGGGTGGTGGGGGGAATTATATGGGGAGGATGAGGGTGGTTGTGGGAATGATATGGGGAGGATGAGGGTGGTGGGGGGAATTATATGGGGAGGATGAGGGTGGTTGTGGGAATGATATGGGGAGGATGAGGGTGGTGGGGGGAATTATATGGGGAGGATGAGGGTGGTTGTGGGAATGATATGGGGAGGATGAGGGTGGTGGGGGGAATTATATGGGGAGGATGAGGGTGGTTGTGGGAATGATATGGGGAGGATGAGGGTGGTGGGGGGAATTATATGGGGAGGATGAGGGTGGTTGTGGGAATGATATGGGGAGGATGAGGGTGGTGGGGGGAATTATATGGGGAGGATGAGGGTGGTTGTGGGAATGATATGGGGAGGATGAGGGTGGTGGGGGGAATTATATGGGGAGGATGAGGGTGGTTGTGGGAATGATATGGGGAGGATGAGGGTGGTGGGGGGAATTATATGGGGAGGATGAGGGTGGTTGTGGGAATGATATGGGGAGGATGAGGGTGGTGGGGGGAATTATATGGGGAGGATGAGGGTGGTTGTGGGAATGATATGGGGAGGATGAGGGTGGTGGGGGGAATTATATGGGGAGGATGAGGGTGGTTGTGGGAATGATATGGGGAGGATGAGGGTGGTGGGGGGAATTATATGGGGAGGATGAGGGTGGTTGTGGGAATGATATGGGGAGGATGAGGGTGGTGGGGGGAATTATATGGGGAGGATGAGGGTGGTTGTGGGAATGATATGGGGAGGATGAGGGTGGTGGGGGGAATTATATGGGGAGGATGAGGGTGGTTGTGGGAATGATATGGGGAGGATGAGGGTGGTGGGGGGAATTATATGGGGAGGATGAGGGTGGTTGTGGGAATGATATGGGGAGGATGAGGGTGGTGGGGGGAATTATATGGGGAGGATGAGGGTGGTTGTGGGAATGATATGGGGAGGATGAGGGTGGTGGGGGGAATTATATGGGGAGGATGAGGGTGGTTGTGGGAATGATATGGGGAGGATGAGGGTGGTGGTGGGTATTATATGGAGGATGTGGGGGGTTATAGTACAGCACACGTTGGGAACATGTCTGTGGATCTCAGTCTCGGGGTGGTGCTGGAGACATCGGGGGGAATACTTTGGATGCTAATTGTGTAAAATCTCATCAAAGGAATTGACGTTTCGGGGGCCACACAGGGCCCCTCATACAGTGATCATAGTGGCCCCGTGTTGGGTCTGTATGGTTATGGGCGGCCCCCGTCCTGTCTGAGAGACGTTACACAATCAGATGGATGAGATCGTTATTCTGCGTGTGGCCGGAGTGGCGTGTGATTGGGGGGCAGCGCGCGGCGTGTGATTGGGGGGCAGCGCGCGGCGTGTGATTGGGGGGCAGGCGGCAGCGCGGCGTGTTCTCTTGTTTTATGAGTGAATCCGGAGGACGGGTATATCGGAGCACTCTACTATACTGATGATGTCACACCGATGACATGACTAACATGTGAGGATCGGGATGTTGGGGGACGCGGTCCTCATGCGTGTCCGCTCCTCCATGTTTGTCATGTATGTAGTAAGAGAGCTGAATCCACTGAAACTCGTATTTCTGTCCATCCTGTCCTGAGATTTACACAACTCTGCATGGTCACCTGACTTTCCCTGAGACACCTCCCCGCCCCCTGCATGTGATTGGACAGTGAAGGAGAAGGAGCACAACTCTCCTCCTGCCAGCACATGTACATGCCGGAGAACCTGATTGGCTTCTAGTCCCGACCCCCCCAGACAGATGTGGGTACTTCTACTAGCTGCACTTCTCGTGTATTTCATGAATTTATCTTGGATCAGAAATTGGTGTTTTCTGCCAAAAAATGACCCGAAATCTCCTTCCTGCGGCCCCTCCTCCTTCCTGCGGCCCCTCCTTCCTGAACCCGGTCTAGAGACCTCCGAGGAGATCTTCCACAGATGTGTCACTGCAGAGCCAGGAGGTGACACCATTATTTACCCCTCTTCCTCCAGCGAACCTCCTCCATGCTGCCCTATCACTCCCCTTCCCCCAGTGCCTGCAACACCTATCCATCCTGCTCCCAGTGCCTGCAGCATCTGCCCCCCGTGCCTGCCGCTAACACCTACCCATCCTGCTCCCAGTGCCTGCAGCATCTCCCCCTCCTGCCCCCAGTGCCTGCAACACCTACCCATCCTGCTCCCAGTGCCTGCAGCATCTCCCCCAGCGCCTGCAACACCTACCCATCCTGCTCCCAGTGCCTGCAACACGTTCCCCTCCTGCAGCAGTGCTTGTAATACCTGCTTCTTAGGTCCCCAGTGACTGTACCACCTCCCCCTTCTGCCCCAGCGCCTAAATCCTTCCATCTTCCGGGGCTTGAAACATGTTAGGATGGCAGCACTGGGCTGGGCAGTAGTGTGAGTGGGGCATGATGGGAAATGAGACCAAACAGACGTCAGATCATTTAAAAACAACATTTAATGACATTTGAATGTGCAACGCAGGAGCGATCATAACTGTGCGGAGGGCAACCTGCGTCCATGTGGGGGAGGGGCGGGTGGACTGCACCCTCGGGGGGGTGGGGGAGGGGTCTGTATATTGGGGGCATGTTGGGTATTTGATGGAGAGAAGCCGTCAGAAGAATGACCAGGCTGTCCTAAGATGTCTCGTATTTCCACGCAGCCTCCTGTATTTTATCGGCCAGTTTAGGCCAAAGGGGCGGCACCAGATTGGCCGCGGTCGGTCACACGCTGTAGGATCCTGGACAGGAAGTCAGCTGTGCGCTGGGAAATATGTCCTCACCATGACTGATATTGGAACATTGGCTGTTCAGATTGGGCATTCCGCTGGGATTTCATGCCGCTCATCCCGGACGAGCCCCCAATATTTCCCCCGTTACTCATGTGGCTCCGCCCTTGTGGACGGATAGTCCCGCCTATAACAGTGTGGCTCTGAATCTGGTGTCGGCAGTAAGGGGCGAGTCTGATGATGTCACTTCCCAGTGATAGATGCCGATCGTTGCGGTGCGCTACATTTCTCCGTTACACTATAGCGGTCCATTACCGTGTGATGCATTAAAGTAGCTCATTGGTTCTGAATAGCCCAACGTGGACATAAGGCTCCGCCCACAGGTGGTTAGGAGCGTGCGATACTTTGTATAATCGCAGAGAAGTTTCCATTGGAAAAGATGGATTTTATTACAATGTTGCGGAGCCGCAGATCGATACTTGTCTGTCCTTCATTCTGATTGGCTGCCAATAAACGAGCGATGACATCTCCAGGGGCGTGCCGCAGCGCCGGTGCTAGTCCCTCTACTGTAGTAGTATGTTGGGTTAGGGCCGTGATTCAATGCCCGTTAACACACGTGTCCAGTAATGGCCCGCAATGTGGGGGCGGAGCCTCAGGGACTCCTCCTTTGTATCATTGTCTAATACTACCCCAAGCTCTATGCCTGCCCCCTCCCATAGT